CACTGCCTTTTTGGCGAAGAAATGCCGGCTTGGCACTCTCCACCGCGGCGCGGCACAAGCCATCATTTCTCGGAAAGGTGCTGAGTCCACCACTTGGAAAGGGAGGGACTGCAGCACCAGCAACTTGGACAGGAGGACGTTCAGCTTTTGCACCGTCGGGTGCGTGCTCGCAAACTGTTGTCTCTTGGAAACGGATTCCAAGAAAGACTGCTGACGGAATCCGTGAAGAGGAGTAGCAGGAGAAGGAGCATCTGAACGAGCGGAAGATGCCAACGAGCGACAACTCCCTTCAGCACAGGTGTTGGAGCCTTGACTGGCTGATAGAGGGCGATTGACGTCGGGTGACGGAGCAAGTAACGGAGCGGGTGATGGAGCGGGGGCTGGGGCTGGGGCAGGCAGAACCGCCGTATCTTTATCACGGTTTTCCCAGGCCACTGAATGGCGACGCTGCATATGCTGACGCAACGCTGTAGTCCCAACATTGGCCCCCTGGCCACGCTTGACTTTCTGGCCACATAGTCGACATACGGCTACGTTTACTTCCTCGGGCGGCGTGACGAAAAATTGCCACACCGCCGAGTAGGAAACTTTGCCCCCGCTACTCCTCACTGGCTGACTGCTACTTCCTCCTTGCACACCGGCACCACTACTGGCCATGGTGGTAGGCTGCAGTGGAGCTGGTGCTCTACTCCGTGGCCGTTTGGCTCCACTGACACTGCTGCGACCCTGCTGCCTCCTGGGCAACCCACCGACTGTTTTGCTCGCTGGCAAGCTGGCACCCTCTTCTCCTGATGATGCGGAAGCAATAGCCTGATGACGACGAGGCTGCCAAGTGCGATCAGCCTCATCATCATCAATTAGGGTCTCCGCGTCACTACTAGCCCCCTCGGCTGCGTGTGGGTCAGGAGACAGACCTGTCTCTAGACCGGCTACCGAGCCACTCTCCTCGCCAGTACTTCTTCGCCTGGCTGCTGAAGAGGCGGATGTCTCCCCCCGTTCCTGACCGCCCTCTGTTAGCTCTTCCTCACTGTACAGTGGGGCTGAGCCCACAGCATGCGATACTTCGCTTGGTGAGGGAACACCAAAGGACAGGGGCAGGTCGAGGACACGAGATTTCAGTGGGCTTGCTCCCGGGCCATGCCAACTAACGGTTGTGTCTGACGTACCCACCGACCGTTGGCTGTAGGTGTCAGAGGTGACCTGGGAAGAGGAAGACGACCGAGTCAACCAATCGATGATGGCAGGGTTGTCGGTGGAGACACGACCGCTGGATGACACCGGGAGCACTGGCCTCTGGCTGCGACTAGTGCTGCCTCGACCCCTTCCTCTGCTGCCACGTCTGCTCGCTCCTGAAACATTGCCTCCTCTGCCACTCCTCTGCGTGTTGTCTGACATACTCTTTAATTCAATAAGCACCCCAAAAATAAAACCGGATTTAACTCTTTGAACGTACAATAGTGGTTGTGAAGCAGAAAGTCAGTTTATTTAGCACAATCGGTCAATTGCAGCTTGCCGTTGGCTGGAAACTGTACGTTTATGTCACTGGAATGCACTAATCACCCAAAAAATATTACCGCCACCCGGCGTGTATATGGATTTAACTCTTTGAACGTACAATAGTGGTTGTGAAGCAGAAAGTCAGTTTATTTAGCACAATCGGTCAATTGCAGCTTGCCGTTGGCTGGAAACTGTACGTTTATGTCACTGGAATGCACTAATCGCCCAAAAAATATTACCGCCACCCGGCGTGTATATGGATTTAACTCTTTGAACGTACAATAGTGGTTGTGAAGCAGAAAGTCAGTTTATTGTACACAATCGGTCAATTGCAGCTTGCCGTTGGCTGGAAACTGTACGTTTAGGTCACTGGAATGCACTAATCACCCAAAAAATATTACCGCCACCCGGCGTGTAAATGGATCTAACTCTTTGAACGTACAATAGTGGTTGTGAAGCAGAAAGTCAGTTTATTTAGCACAATCGGTCAATTGCAGCTTGCCGTTGGCTGGAAACTGTACGTTTACATCACTGGAATGCACTAATCACCCAAAAAATATTACCGCCAGCCGGCGTGTAAATGGATTTAACTCTTTGAACGTACAATAGTGGTTGTGAAGCAGAAAGTCAGTTTATTTAGCACAATCGGTCAATTGCAGCACCAACTGTGCACGACAGCCACCAAAAAAAAAAAGGGTGTATGTCACTTTAAATTTTCGATTCTTTGATAGCTGTGGCCCTAAGTAACGATTCTGTGTCCCTGAGTAACGATTCTGTGTCCCTGAGTAACGATTCTGTGGCCCTAAAGTCTCTGTGGCCCTAACTCTGTCCCTTAATACACACAGGTCTGTCTCTCTTGAATGACCAGAGGCTAATGGAGAATTCTAAGATGGCCGCGATTTATAGCTCTACCATTACACAGTGCTGGCTGGCTGGCTGCTGATTGGCTAATGCGATCACATGTCATGAATGAATGCATTATGGGTCAGCGCGCCTTGTCTGCGCGCCTTCCCAGAGATCCCCGCTCCGTCGCCACACATGTCGCCGCCATTTTTGGGAAAATTCGATTCGTGCATCCGAAGTTTGTTAATCTTCGGATTCGTCGCGAATCGAATTTTTCCAAATCTTCGGAACGAATTCCACTTCGTCATGTTCGATTCGCTCATCTCTAATAGTGATAAATATACTCTAAGTGGTGGTGGATGACGACTGATAATGATGATTGACTGAAGCTGATGATGTTGACAATTAATGAATCTTATTAATGATAATAATTATGGCCATAAGGATTGTAAGAGATTACAATGAGTGATGCAGAATGGATTATTTTTATGAATAATGAAGTATGGATTATATCAAAAGATGGATACTGATCACTGATGGTGGCAGCAAGAAGGGATGTATCAGGATGATGATGATGATGATGATTATAAAGCTAATCTGGAAGGTCATTTATGATAATCATTTGATGATTACAGATGCTTGTTTTAGTTGTTGTCCATTTATATTCAAATAAGTGAAAATAGAGATAAATGTACTGTATGCTTGTCAATTAACTATTTTGCTGTATTTCTTTCCAAGGTTTGGAATTGGATTGAGAAATCTGACATTGGATGTACCACAGGAAGTGGAAACAGTTCTCTGGGAGTGTTTTATGATGCTGGACTTACATTACAAACAAATTTCCAAGGAACAACAAATCAGAGAATAGGTGATGATAACACACATCCATTCCTGAACTGGACACGCACATTTGACTTGTGCTTGGTGTACATCTAGACCTGAACTGGAACACACAAATCTAGACACATTCTGGCCACACACATCTAGACCTGAGCTGGCCACATACATCTAGAACTGAGCTGGCCACACACATCTAGACCTGAGCTGGCCACACACATCTAGACCTGAGCTGGCCACACACATCTAGACCCATTCTAGCCATGCATATACAGTATACACCTGTGCTGGCCACACATATCTAGACCCCAATGCAAACAGAAATAACCCCTTTGGGACTTTAATACAGCTGACATATCATCACACATACAGTATATTCATACATTTTTTTTTCATATACTTTATTGTACTGAATGTTATTAAAAAATACATTCCAATTTAAAAACACACTGGCTCTGATCGCTAATTTAGGAATATATTCTGTTTGTAAGATTACAATAATGCAACATTCCCAAGAAACTCCAACACGTTTCAATAATTTCAATTTTAGATCTTCTTCAGGGGGCATAAAAGCAAGAGGGATCTCCGAATGGACATATTTGAGGTTAGTAATAAGTTGTGTGTAAGGACATCATTGACAATTACACAATCTTCATTTTCATGCCTGCAAAACAATAGGTGAGCAGTTAATGTTTATCAGAGCAATCTTAAAAATACTTGCATTCAAGATGGGATTGTATGGTCCAAAGTTTGCTGGTGTAATCAATAAGCAGGACAAGAGTGGTCACATACCATATACAAGTGTCAAAAAATTATAAGCCAGTCTTTTTTTTTTTGTCACCTGTAAATGTTTTGTCTCTAATTTCTCTGTTTTATTATTTGATGATTATAGAAGGATATGGAGTGTGATCTGTTTTTTTTCTTCTCTGCCACCAGTATTATGAGATGGGTATGTGACCAGTCTTGTCCTCCTGATTATTTACACTATCGAATGTTGGACCATGCAATCCCATCTTGAATGCCAGTATTTTTAAGATTGCTCTGATAAACATTAACCACTCAACTATGGTTTTGTAAGTATGAAAATGGAGATTGTAGAACTGTCATTGATGTCCTTACACACAACTTATTACTAACCTCAAATATACTAAATTACCAAGAGTTTTGGGACCTCTGCCTTTACACGCTCATGAACTTTAATCACAGTCTTAGTCTGTAGGGTTCAATATTGAGTTGGCCCCGCCCTTTGCAGCTATAACAGCTTCAACTCTTCTGGGAAGGCCGTCCACAAGGTTTAGGAGTGTATCTATGGGAAGGTTTGACCATTCTTCCAGAAGTGCATTTGTGAGGTCAGGCATTGATGTCGGACGAGAAGGCCTGGTCACAGCCTCCACTCTAATTAATTCCAAAGGTGTTCTCTATGGGGTTGAGGTCAGGACTCTGTGCAGGCCAGTCAAGTTTCTCCACCCCAAACTCACTCATCCATGTCTTTATGGACCTTGCTTTGTGCACTGGTGCACAGTCATGTTGGAACAGGAAGGGGCCATCCGCAAACTGTTCCCACAAAGGTGGGAGCATGAAATTGTCCAAAATGTCTTGGTATGGTGACGCCTTAAGAGTTCCCTTCACTGGAACTAGGGGGCCAAGCCCAACCCCTGAAGAACAACCCCACACCATAATCCCCCCTCCACCAAACTTTACACTTTGCACAATGCAGTCAGGCAAGTACCGTTCTTCTGGCAACTGCCAAACCCAGACACTTCCATCAGATTGCCAGACAGAGAAGCGTAATTTATCACTCCAGAGAACATGTCTCCACTGCTCTAGAGTCCAGTGGCGGTGTGCTTTACACCACTGCATTTGACACTTTGCATGTAAGGCTTGGATACAGCTGCTCGGCCATGGAAACCCGTTCCCTGAAGCTCTCTACGCACTGTTGTTGTGATAACCTGAAGGCCACATGAAGTTGGGAGGTCTTTAGCTATTGACTCTGCAGACAATTGGTGACTTCTAGCACTTTAAGCTTCAGCATGCACTGACCCCGCTCTGTCATTTTACGTGGACTACCACCTTGTGGCTGAGTTGCTGTTGTTCCCAGCTGCTTCAACTTTGTTATAATCCCACTAACAGTTGAGCGTGGAATATTTAGTAGCAAGGAAATTTCACGGATGGACTTATTGCATAGGTGGCAACCTATCATGATACCACACTTGGAGTCACTGAGATCCTGAGAGCAACCATTCATTCACAAATGTTTGTAGAAGCAGTCTGCATGCCTAGGTGCTTAATTTTCTACACCTGTGGCTATGGAGGTGATTGTAACACCTGAATCCAATGATTTGGAGGGGTGTCCCAATACTTTTGGCAATATAGTGTATGTGCATTCAGAGATCCCTCTTGCACTTATGCCTCCCTGAAGAAAGATCTAAAATTGAAATATTTGAAACGCGTTGGAGCTTCTTGGGAATTTTGTATTGTGGTAATCTTGCAAGGAGAATATATCCCTGGAATAGCTATCTGTCAGGGATCTCGGGTTTCTCCTCGACGCACGGGTCTGTGCATGCGCGGAAATCTAATACAAACCAACGTACAGGCGCTAGGACATAGGCGCCCGCGGCAACAATCGCGGCCGCGCATGCACACTTGCGCACACAGGCACGTGCCTGGAACCAATGACAGTGCAGGGCGCACTATTTAAACCGACTCTTGCATGCTCAAGTTGCCATATGGTCTAGTTCCTGCTCATTCCTGTTATCCTGTTTTCCTGTGAGAGTATGCCGTTGCCGACCCAGCCTGACCCTGATTGCTGTTGACCGTCTCCTGCCCTGACCTCTGGCTCATCCGACTATTCTTCTGCCTGTTCCTGATTATCTGACCTCCTGCTGCTGAACCTGGCCTGTGATCTGACCATTCTCTGCCTGCTGCTCTGTACTGTACCACCTCCACTGTTACCGACCCGGTCTGTCTGACTTCGCTACTGCTTCACGGTGTGTCCTGTCCATCCATCCTGCACCGATCCATCCATTGCTGTCTGGGCCTGCTCTGCCTCTTCACATCAGGCTCTCATCCTGCTACGTGCCCCTGGCGGTTCCTTCTACTACAGCTGGGCGTACCCAGGGGCTGCGACCGGGTCTCAGTCTGCTCCAAGTCCATCCCCACCATCAGGGGCTCTGGTGAACAAGCAGATTGGGGCTTAGACTCCGCGCCCTGGGGAAATCCGGTCTGTGGAGCTCTAGAGCTACCGTCAGTAGGTACCTGACAGTACCATACGGCCATGTCTGAGCCTGGAAGAGGACCATCTCCTCTGGATGAGATTTGCCAACACCTGGCAGCACTCACCCAAGCAGTCAAGACTCTACAGGAGGGATATACGCACCTGGAAGGACATATTCAGACCCTAGCCTCACCAGCGTCCATACCTCTGAATCCGGCTTCTCCGCCTCCAGCCAGGAACTCTACGGAACCCTCTGCCGGAGCGGTGGTCACACTACCTCCACCTGAACCCCGCGTCCCGACGCCGGAGCGTTTCAATTGGGAATCGAGGGAGGTTCAGGGCTTTCTGGAACTCATGCCAATTATACTTTGACCTGCAGCTGTGGATATTTTCCTCAGAATCCGTGAAAGTAGGGTTCATCATATCCCTACTGCAAGGTGAACCCCAGGGCTGGGCCCACCGTCTGCTGGAAGGCCGCCATCCGTATCTGAATTCGGTATCTGTATTTTTCAAGGCAATGGCACAGCTATATGATGATCCGCAGCAGGCAGCGTCTGCTGAGGCAGCCCTGCACACGCTCCAACAAGGTCGCCGAGCGGTGGAAGACTACGCCTCTGACTTCAGACGTTGGAGTGGCAACACCCGATTGAATGACGCAGCCCTGCGTCATCAGTTTCGCTTGGGCCTGTCTGAACCGCTTAAGGATGAGCTAGCCAGAGTGGGCATACCCGACTCTTTGGAAGATCTGATAACCCTGGCCATTCAGATCGACCGCAGGCTGCGGGAACGTAGGCAAGAAAGGTCCAGCCAGGGTCAGAGACCGACATGGGTGTTACCTCGGTTCCCAGTCCAGTCGAATCCTCTTGTTAATAACCAGAATCCTGAGACTACCAACATACCCGAGCCAATGCAACTGGGACTGATTCGACCTTCGCTGACATTTGAGGAACGCCAAAGACGTCAGCTAACAACCTCTGCCTTTACTGTGGGGAAGCAGGCCACTTTGTGTGCTCCTGTCTGGCAAAGCTGAGTAAGTGTGCCTCTATCTCTTCTGCTGTGTCTCAAGCTTGTCTCCACAACTCAAATCATATAGCAGTGCCTATCTCGTTCCAGCTCTCCGGAAGAACCGTGTTGGTGACGGCGGTTATTAATTCAGGGGCTTGCAGCTGTTTTATAGATCTGAACTTTGCAGCCCAGCAGCAGATCCCCCTACAGACAAAGGAGCACAGTCTAAACGTCTTCCTGGCCGATGGGTCCCATATCAAATCTGGGTTGGTAGACCACGAGACCCCACCGATCTGCACTACGGTTGCTGGCCACCATCAGGAACTCCTTCGATTGGATGCCATCGCATCCCCCCTATTTCCAGCTATTTTGGGGCTTCCCTGGTTACGAACACATGACCCCCAAATCAATTGGAAGATTGCCCGATCGACCTTCTCCGGGGGTCTGAGATTTCCTTCGGGCGAATCTTTCCTTTATCAGAACGGGAATTGGGGGGTTTTAAAGGAGTACATAGATGAGAATCTCCAAAAAAGGTTTATCCGTCCTTCTACGTCACCAGCTGGAGCTGGAATCTTCTTTGTGGAGAAGGACAAGTCCTTGTGTAGACTATCGAATAAATTAACTGTGAAAAACCGCTATCCCATTCCTTTAGTCCCTGAGCTGTTCCAGAGGCTGAAGACGGCTTCTGTCTTCACCAAGTTGGATCTGAGAGGTGCCTATAACTTGGTCCGCATACGAGAAGGGGATGAATGGAAGACTGCATTCCGCACCCGGTTTGGCCACTTTGAGTATCTAGTCATGCCGTTCAGGTTGTGCAACGCACCTGCCTCATTTCAGCACTTCATTATTGATGTATTCAAGGACTATTTAGATGTTTTTGTTGTCATTTACTTAGATTACATTTTGATTTTTTCCTCATCCCTGGAGGCGCATCGGGATCATGTCAGGAGCGTGTTAGAGCGACTTCGCCAGCACGGGCTCTATGCCAAGGCAGATAAGTGTAGCTTTGAGCGGCACAGCATTTCGTTCCTGGCATTAATCATCTCCACCACAGGAATTGCCATGGACCCTCAGAAGATTTCTGCAATCTTAGAATGGCTGGTGCCCTCTGATAAGAAGAGTATACAGTGGTTCATTGGCTTCGCCAATTTTTATCATAAGTTTATCAAGAACTTTTTGGGTCTCGTATCTCCCATCACCCAACTCTCACGAAAATAGGGGTTCATTTCCAGTGGACTCCCAAGGCACAGGTGGCTTTTGAAACCCTGAAAAAGTTGTTTACAGCAGCTTCCATCCTAAATCGCCCGGATTCTTCCTTACCCTACATACTGGAGGTAGATGCGTCTGAAAACGCAGTAGGGGCGGTCCTGTCACAAAGGAAGGGCCTTAAGGACCTCATGCACCCGTAGCCTTCTTTTCCAGAAAGCTCACACCAGCAGAGAGAAATTATGATATTGGAGACCGAGAGCTCTTGGCAATCAAGACGGTACTGGAAGAATGGAGGTACCTGCTGGAGGGGGCCATGCACCCGATCTTAATCTAAACAGACCATAAGAATTTGGAGTATTTGAGGACGGCTAAGCACTTGAGATCACGCCAGGCCAGATGGGTGCTGCTCTTTTCAAGATTTGTTTTTCACATAACCTCTAGACCGGGGTCTAAGAACACGAAACCCGACGCGCTCTCTTGCATGTTTGAAGATCCAGAGGAAATCTCTAAACCTGACACTATCCTGCCTGCAGGGAATTTTTTATTACTACAGTCCTGAACTCCTGTCCAGGTTGCAAGCAGCATCTGTAGGAATACCCAGTCCATCCGCAGTTTTGGTGCAGAACAGAGAAGGACTCTTGTGGAAGGGGGAGCAGATTGTGGTACCTGAGGAAGCATGAACCCTGGTCCTGGGCTACTGCCATGACCATCCATTGGCAGGCCATTTTGGAGTGTTGAAAACATTAGAGCAGGTGCAGCGCATGTTCTGGTGGCCAAGTATGGCTAAAGACTGCGAGACATATGTGAAGACTTGTACTATCTGCAACAGAAACAAGCCCACCAGAAGCAAGGCCTGGGGCTTGTTACGACCTTTGCCAGTACCGGATAGATCGTGGAAGATGATATCCATAGACTTCATTGTGGAACTTCCACCCTCCCAAGATCATCCTGCGATCTTCGTGGTAGTGGATCGTCTGTCAAAAAAGGCCCACTTTCTACCATTAAAGAATACACCTTCGGCGCCAGAAACTGCACGGATCTTCATTAAGGAAGTTGTAAGGCTCCATGGGGTGCCTAGGGATATTGTCTCGGACCGAGGGGTTCAGTTCACCTCGAAGTTCTGGAGAGCCCTGTGTGAAATCTTAGAAATCAAGCTATCCTTTTCTTCTGCATACCATCCGCAAACAAATGGACGGACCAACCAAACCCTAGAGCAATACCTCAGGTGTTACACTTCTTTCCTCCAGGATGACTGGCTGGCACTCCTGCCTTTAGCGGACTTCGCCTACAATAATGGGAGTCACTCCGTCACCAAGCAATCCCCGTTTTTCGCCAATTATGGGTTCCATCCTACATTCCTGCCTGATCTGATTCCGGAAATTTCGGTTCCTGCCGCTCAGGATACGCTGGATTTCTTTTCGTCCAATAACAAGGTGTTGCAGGAGGCAATCGCGAAGGCTCAGGAAGACAATAAGAAAGCCTTTGATAGAAGGAGAAGAGGCAATTGATCTTGTACCCGGGAGATCAAGTCTGGTTGGCAACGACCTATGTGAAGTTGGCTTGTCCGTCAAGGAAATTGGCACCCAAGTTCGTGGGCCCATTCCAGGTAATACGGAAAATTAATGAGGTTGCTTATGAGCTAGCACTTCCTGAATCCTTCAAGATACATCCTGTCTTCCATGTGTCTCTGTTAAAACCTGCAGCACCGGAGCCTTTTCCAGACCGTAGGTCTAGACCCCCGGAGGCCATAG